TGAATTTCACGTCTCTTTGTCAATATCTTAATATCTTTTTCAATAACTATGGACACAAACTAAATAGTTTCCGCTAGGTTGTTGACCATACTGGGAGTACCCCAGACCTTATGTACATCACTGTATGATACTTCAGTTTTGTTAGATATGCTTTAGAAGCTGCTCTCAGTAAAATTATTTTATTGTTTCAGCTATTTACTGCAGTAATTTAGTTTGAATTTGAAATAATTTTAAACTAGTCTTTAGGAGTGAAGTAGTCTCTAGGAGTTAGTTATTTTCAGCATAATTTGTGCTGATTTTATGTCTTTTAAGTTAGTATTTCTCTTATAAATTGTAGTCCAAATGCAGAAAAATAACATAGAATTTTCAGCTTCAGTTCCTTTTACATCTATTCCAGTATACTTTTTTTATTTTCTTGTCATCTTCCCCAGTTATTTCCCTTAATTTCTTTTATCAAGAACCAACAATTGGTATCAAGAGTCATCTTCTTAAGGGACCTAAGTAAAATCTTTTCTTGAGTGAGATGGAGACTGAAATGAGTTTTTCTCAATAGGCTCCTCCGGTCTTTGATGGTGAAAATTACCAACTGTGGGCAGTGAGAATGGAGACTTACTTGGAGGCTTTAAATGTTCTTCCGCTGCCTAACAATCCCACGGTGGCCCAGATCAAGAGTCACAAGGAAAAGAAAACCAGGAAATCAAAGGCGAAAGCAACTTTGTTTGCTGGTGTGTCTGCAACAATTTTCACGAGAGTTATGGCTCTCAAATCAGCAAAAGAAATCTGGGATTATCTGAAGGGAGAATATACAAGAGATGAAAGAATACGAGGAATGAAGGTGTTGAATTTAATAAGGGAATTCGAGTTGCAGAAAATGAAGGAATCTGAGACTGTCAAAGAATACTCAGATCTGTTGCTTGGCATTTTTAACAAGGTAAGATTGCTTGGCACTAAATTTAAAGATTCAAGAATTGTTGAAAAAATTCTTGTTACGGTGCCTGAAAAATATGAAGTATCCATAACTACCTTAGAAAATACAAAGGATCTATCCAAGATTACCTTGGCAGAATTGTTAAATACATTGCAGGCACAAGAGCAAAGGAGGCTTATGAGGCAAGATGGTATGGTCGAAGGAGCCCTGGCAGCCAACCACAAAACTCAAAGCAAGGGTAATAATGTAAAGAAAAATTACCCACCTTGTCAGCACTGTGGCAAAAAAGGTCATCCACCATTCAAATGTTGGAAGAGGCCAGATGCAAAGTGCAAAATTTGCAACCAACTTGGTCATGAAGCTGTAATTTGCAAAGGCAAATATCAAAAGCATGAAGCAGATGCCCAAGTCGCCAATGAAGAAGAAGAAGATCACTTGTTTGTGGCAACTATTCTTTCAACCAAAAAATCTGATTTTTGGTTTATTGACAGTGGTTGTACAAACCACATGACATATGACAGAAATCTTTTCAAAGAGTTCACGTCTATAGGAAATAAGAAAGTCAGAATTGGAAATGGTGATTATATTCTTGCTAAAGGAAAAGGACCTGTTGCAATCCCAACAAATTCAGGTACTAAGAAAATTTCAGATGTTCTTTATGTTCCTGATATTGATCAAAATTTATTAAGTGTTGGACAACTAATGGAAAAAGGATTTAAAGTATCCTTTGAAGATAAATATTGTTTCATTTATGATGCAACTGGACTTGAGATTTTAAGGGTTAATATGAGAGGTAAAAATTTCTCATTTGATCCAACCGAAGATGAAGAATGGAGCCAAAAGAATCTACTAAGTGCAGGTAATTCTCCAACTGAGGACATATGTGAAAATAAGGTAAGGAAGAAGTTGTCAATATTTCAGAAAATGTAATTCTGGAAGAAAGTTGACAAGTCTCAAGGCAAGATGCATAGATGCAAATGAAGCTGAAAAACGAGCCAACTTATTTCATTAACAATCATGAGATGCAGCAAAATACAGAAGTGAACTCGATTCACTGCAAGTCCAAAGATCAGTTGGCAAATTTACGTACAAAGTCGCTTCCAGTTAAAGGTTTACAAGGGACAAATTCAGAATTTGCAGCTTCAAAAGCAAGGAGGAGTGTTAGAAATATGCTTTAGAAGCTGCTCTTAGTAAAATTATTTGACTGTTTCAGCTATTTACTGCAGTAATTTAGTTTGAATTTTGAAATAATTTTGAACTTGTCTTTAGGAGTGAACTAGTCTCTAGGAGTTAGTTATTTTCAGCATATTTTGTGCTGATTTTTAGGTCTTTTAAGTTAGTATTTCTCTTATAAATTGTAGTCCAAATGCAGAAAAATAACATAGAATTTTCAGCTTCAGTTCCTTTTACATCTATTCCAGTATACTTTTTTTATTTTCTTGTCATCTTCCCCAATTATTTCCCTTAATTTCTTTTATCAAGAACCAACAAGTTTCTAATAGGTCAGAGATTCTCTGGCAAGGATTAGGGGGAAGTAGAAAGTTTAATCCTGTGCTTCCAGCCGAAGTCAGTGGCGGATCAAGAGTATAGTTACTGGGTTCCCGGGAACCCAGTAACTTTTGCATAGATACTGTATTTTTATTAATAAATTCATTAAATATCTATAAATACCCATAAACTTTAAATCCTGGATCCGCCTCTGGCCGAAGTGATAAATAATGATATTTTGTTTTCTATTTTTCCACAGAGATACTACTTTGCATCATCCAAAGAGTTGATGCGGATCAACGGAACTACCAAATCATTTGTGGCCAACCATCTTGCAGAATCCATTGCTGGAGCTGTGACTATAAGGGCATTTAAAGAGGAAGACAGATTTTTTGTGAAAACTTTTGAACTAATTGATATGAATGCCAGTCCCTTCTTCCACAACTTCTCAGCAAATGAGTGGTTGATTCAACGGCTGGAAACTATAAGTGCAACTGTTCTTGCTTCCTCAGCACTTTGCATGGTTTTACTTCCTCCCGGGACTTTCAGCTCTGGTACGTTACCAATTCATGTTATGCTTGGATTCGGATTTAAAAAGCTGCTACTCTGGCTCCTCGTTACCTTTGATCGTTATGTAAAACAGAATTTTCTAATGACTAGCTACCTGTTAATGCTATTGCAGGATTTATTGGGATGGCTTTGTCTTATGGTCTTTCCCTAAATTTGACCCTTGTTTCTTCCATTCAATATCAGTGCACTTTGGTGAACTATATCATTTCAGTGGAAAGACTTAACCAGTACATGCGCATACCAAGTGAAGCTCCTGAAATTTTAAAAGAGAACCGTCCCCCAGTTGATTGGCCTTCGAGGGGTAAAGTTGAAATTCAAGATTTGCAGGTAAGACTTAATCTAATCTAATTTCCATTCTTTTGGGATGTTGAACATACTACTGAGTATGCCTCAAAGCAGATAAGATATAGGGAGGAGTCCACACTTGTTCTTAGAGGGATCAGCTGTACATTTGAAGGAGGTGACAAAGTTGGTATTGTTGGCCGGACTGGCAGTGGCAAGAGTACACTAATCAGCGCACTATTTCGACTAGTGGAGCCTGCAGGTGGAAGGATTGTGGTTGATGGAGTAGACATTTGTAAAATTGGTCTTCATGATTTAAGGTCCCGTTTCGGGGTTATACCTCAGGATCCTACTCTGTTCAATGGAACAGTGAGATGCAATTTAGATCCCCTATGTCAGCATACTGACCAGGAAATTTGGGAGGTAATGTGCTTTTACTTACTATATTAAGCCATTATTTTTAGCATTCAGGTGATAAATGGCATAGCATAGCATTTTTCTGATGACTTATTGTCATTTTTATCTTCATTGGGAAAGGTTCTTGGGAAATGTCAGCTACATGAGGCAGTTAAGGAAAAAGAGAAGGGGCTTGATTCCTTGGGTAATCTTCTGAACATGTCTGATTCTTTTTATACAAGTGGATTCTTACTGACCATGGACTCGTTTCAGTTGTGGAAGATGGGTCGAACTGGAGCATGGGGCAGCGACAACTGTTCTGTTTGGGGCGTGCTCTTTTGAGGAAAAGCAAGATTTTGGTTCTTGATGAAGCGACTGCATCAATTGACAATGCCACTGACATGATATTGCAGAAAACTATCAGGACAGAATTTGCTAACTGCACTGTAATTACAGTTGCCCATAGAATACCCACAGTAATGGATTGTACCATGGTTCTGGCCATTAGTGATGGTAAGACCTATCTATTTACTTTTTCAATACTTCCATGCTTAAAAGTTCAGTTATTATGTTAATCCCACAATGTTATCCTGAAGACTTACTTTTGGTTGCTTATACAGGAAAACTAGTGGAGTATGATGAACCTATGAAGCTGATGAAGAATGAAGGGTCGCTCTTTGGGCAGCTCGTCAAGGAGTATTGGTCTCATTATCACTCAGCGAAAGCACATTGAAGCTAACTGCATATTTGCAATACGTTTTTTGGCGCATCAAACTTCACATATGTTGCCTGATTGAAACCCAAATTAGCCCATTGAGAGAAGCACTAAACTCAATGTTTATCTAGTTTTGGCATGGGAATTTATGCAGAAAGAGATCAGGAATCAGGACTAACAACTGAGTGGGACACTTTTTCTGTTTGGCAACAGTGGTGCCCAAGTCATCTCGCGTGCACCTCGGCTATTCGACAGTGAAAGAGCTCGGAATTTTCTCTAAATGTTAGTATATAGCTTGCTGTTGCCTGTAGGAAGTCGCAACTGGGGAGGTTCGGTAGGTAATGTGATCTAAACAACTGCAACTTACTAGCTTAGCTTACCAGTTTTATTCATTTTGTAACCTTTTAACTAGGCATGCTGGTACCAAAGCCGTACAGGATCATGAATGTACCATCTTCCAGTTCTATGAATGAAATTCTTTCCACCTTTTCAAACATCACTATAGGTGTTTTGACACGAAAATCTCCCTCTAATCCCTTCTTTCCACTGTTCTTCCACATACAAAAGGATTTATGCAGAAGAAATAATAAGAGAGCAGAGGAATTGAGTGAAACTAAAGAATAAAGAGAAGCAATCAGTGAGTTCCTGGAAAGTGTGTATGATGCTGTTGAAACACATGATACAAAAGTGGATTTGTCCCTCTCTTTTTTTCCTTGGGATTTTTTTTGGGAGGGGTTAGGCCAGGAATGGGGGAGAAGGGAAATGAAACAATCAAAGAATATGCAAAATTGCATAATCATAACAAAAAACTTTGAGATGAGTTCCATTTCACCTTGAGCTATCTAGGTGAGATAGTGGAGTGACTGCATGTAGCATAAGATGATGGATGAGTAGCGACGGAGAAGGAACAAAACTGATTCAGCTCCCTCTTCATTGACTTGTATACATGATCTAAGCCTTCCTCTATTAACTCCAAAACTGTCTGTGGCATTGGTGGCATATTAATGTCAACCGATCCTTCCAACATCTTCACCACTTCTCCCATGGAAGGCCTGTTTGAAACCTCATCCTGAATACACCAGAAAGCAACCATCAATGCTCTCATTACCTCTTTTTCTTCTGCTGCTCCTTTAAGTCGCCTGTCTACAACTTTTACGGGTGTTCCACTAGTCATCTCCTGGAAAGAAGAAAGAGAAAAACAGTGAAGACTAGATGTACAAGAAACAAGGCAACAATATGAGTCAAATTGAAGATTGTGTCAAGTTAAGTGCATACCTTGTAAGCCCATCCGGGATAAAAGAAGTCGTCTGCATCACAAGTCATATCGAGATTTCTCCGGCCACCAACAATCTCTAGAAGAAGCATACCATAGCTGTAAACATCAGCTTTTACAGTAATAGGACGATTGCTGACCCATTCGGGAGCTAAATAACCTCTGGTTCCTCGGACCATAGTGACAACGTGGGAGTTCTCTCTCACCATTAACTTAGCTAGTCCAAAATCAGATACCTTAGGGCAGAAATTCTCATCCAGAAGTATGTTCTCTGGCTTGATGTCACAGTGTATTATTCTGTCCCTACACTGCTCATGAAAATAGGCTATCCCTTGTGCAGTACCAACTGCTATGCGGAAACGTGATGACCAATCTAGTAGTCTATCTCTTGTACTAAGTGAATGAAATATCCAGTTGTCCAAAGAACCATTTTTCATGAATTCATAAACTAGCAGCCTGCCAAAGAATGAAATTTTTTAGTGAAAGTTGAGCTAACCCTGACTACGATGCAACACCTATACATACTTCGCATGCTATACTTCACAAATTACAATGGAAGAAGTAACTTACCTTTGAGTTCCCTCAGAACAGTATCCACATAGACGAACCAAGTTCAAATGATGCATAGAGCCAATGGTTTTAACCTCTGTTACGAATTCCTTCTCCCCATGAGGTGAAACTTTATCAAGTTTCTTTACTGCAATTAATGTTCCATCTTTTAGGCATCCCTTGTATACACTGCCAAATCCACCTGTCAACACAGTACTGTTACTAATTATATCCTTAAAGAAACCAGTGATCTGTGTTTGGGTTCACATAGTTTGAGTGCTTAGTAGCACAGAAGTAATAAAATGTTCATATCTTTACCTGTTCCAAGTAACTGGGAAAAATTGGTAGTCCAACCTAGCAGGTCGCGGTAGCTGAAACTAACTGGAGCTCCTGACAAAAGCAAAGAGCTCTCAAGTGCCCTCTTGAAGGATCTTTTTCTATGGATATTAATATATAACAAACAACCGAGCAGGCCAATAAGAACTGCCATGCTCAGGACTATAGGAAGTACCAAAACCTTCTCGTGCGTACTTTGTGACTCATCTGATGAATCCCCAGGTGTTCTGCTACCGCTTGCTCCAGATGCTGAGGCATTGGCCTCAACCTTCACAAATAAAGTTGAAACAGGATCCTCAAATCCACCAAATTCCATGCTCCTGAGTAACCAACAATAAGCCTTCTCCTCACTGAGGCCGTAAACAGAAGCAACACAATCACAGTTTGATAAGCAAGCATCACCACATTTGGACACAGTCCCTTTATCACTATAATTTCCTATGACAGATGATTCTGAGAAATAATAATTTGTTTTCTGAACAGTAGAAATCTTGAACTGAGACATCAAGTTTTCATGCCGAGGTCCACATTTCCCTGCCACTGAAGAATTTCCTGAACATGAGACATCATTTCCCACCTTAGAAGTCCCTGGCAAACATGTGCAAGAAGCATTCGTCTTGCTTCTGTCTAAATTACATATCCCATTGCCACAAATTCCAGAAATATCACATGGATTGGACACAGCTGCCCACTCTGGAACCCATTGCCTTGATCCATTCACATCATTATCCCATCGATACAAACGTATATTTCCATTAACCTCGAGGGTTAATCGACGAAGAACAGATAGTGCATTAGAATTCCTTTGATTTACATCCGACGATAGGCCTCCATAATCTCCATCATTTTTATATACATAAACTGCTCCATCTGAAGATGAGCCATAAACCATACCAAAGCTTCCTGCTTTACTCAACACTGCAATAACATCTCCAGTCACATTTGATATTTCAGGTCCTGACCAATAAGAAAAGTTGCTGTAAGATTCAGGCGACGAGGTGTATGACTTAGGCACATTATAGGTCAATGCAAGGCTTAGTGAAGTAGGCTGCTGCAACATTTTTAAAGTATAGTAACCGCCATGAGAAGATGATTTTGTTGATGTTAATTCTAGTGAAACTGTTAAGGGTTGACCAGGTAGGAGAGTATCAGATGGATATGCAAAGCTTTGCCATGCGACGCTTAGGTTGGTGCTGTAGAGAATGAAGTTGCCATTTTCAGACATGACAGCTAACTCGACGCCTGCTTCCGAGGTGTTTGATGCCCAAACTGTGGTGTCTCCATCCATCAACATGAGATTTCCTGTGGTGTCAAACTCCAAGGTTGCATCTTTGCTCACTGGTGAATTTCTATTTAGATGATTGAGACAAAATGGCCAAAAAAGTTATATTACCTGCAAAAGCTTTATTAAAAACTAGAGGTGGAGGAGTATTTTCTGCTTTTTTCCTAGTCTTGAAACAGAATAACATTTCTAATATACAACTCCATACTCATGTCCACTTGAGCCATTTCAAGAACTTGTTATTTACCATAAAATTTCAAATCTAACACTTAATGAAGAGAAAGAGAAGCTACAGTTTAAATCATGCAAAATTTTCATCCTACTAATAAGTAATGAATTTAAGTTGTATACGGTGTAAAAGTATATTACACCATCAATATAGTTTAACCTACTATAGTAGGTTAGTTACCATTTTTATCGTGCTACCGATTAATTTATCATAGGGATCTACCTTTTACAATGTTATTGCATAGAACATAAACTCCTAAGCACATTTGAACATTGGTTTACACTTACATATTAGGAGACCAAACCATGGTTGTGTCTCCTGGAAGTTGTGCAAACCAAATTGCCAATTGATATTGATCATTAGAGTCTGCTGCTGGTGTGAAGCCCAAAGCAAAGGTTCCATTGTCAGAAAACCATGCTTGGTTCTCTTTAGCTAACAATCTTGAACCCAAGCGAACCCGACCAGACACTATAGAGCCAGAAAGCTCTATTAGAAAGAATAAGAGCAAAGCCAAAGCATAGGAGAGGAAACAGGGAGCCATATGTGAAAAATTGGAAGTGGAATTCTATTTCAGGAAAATCAACTTGACATTGTTATAGTCCTTATTAAAGAGAAGGAATTGGTAGATGAAGAAAAGTATTTAAGAGGAATTCAGAACAGGTGTACAATGGTGGTTGGTTGGTGAGCTACAATGTTGACAAATGACCAATTTATTGGAATGGTCGGTTCTGGTATTTGGCGCCACGTGTTTATTTATTTCTTTGTTGCTTTCAAACTATAAAAGCATTGAATCATTAAATTTGTAAAACTGGACCACACTTATTCTTGGTTTCACACTTTATCATTAGAAACAAATGGGTGAGCTGCAAATTCTCATTCATGAAAAACCAAGTATTAAAATGAAGATCCGTTTTTTTCCCCTCAATTCTCACCTATGTCATCAACAATGTAGGAATGTAAAGAGGACTATAGTTCCTTCTTCTCAAGCTAATATCTTTTAGGTTTTAGCTCACCGTGTAAAGTTATGCTGCAAAAAGAAAAAGAAAAAAAAGTAGGAAGCTTTTCTTATGGTAATTAGCTTTGAACTCTGCATTCAGAAGTGGTCATTTATGAATCATTTGGTGTACTTTTGTATAACATCAAAATATTTCTTGTTTGGGAGTTGAAAGCCTTAATTCGTTTATGAGACTCGTAAGAGCACATAAATTCGACATTGAGGGCAATGGCAGGCTAATTTAGCCTTTTCTAACGTAATACTTGTAAGACTGGGTCTTCAGGCTTAGTTTCTGCGAAATTTTAGATTTACCTCATTTCTTATTACTTTTAACTCAACCAGTCATCATAATGCCTGTAAACCTCAGACATTCTTCTCTAATTTAATCTTTTATTTGTGCTATTTTCTATCTATGTCGAAAGTGATCATTTCTAATCTCGTCTAATCTATATGATCATATATTCATCTTAATATTTATATCTCTAATACAACTAATTTTGGATATGTTGGGCCATAACGGCATAATATCTACTCCAATATACCATTGTTAATGTCGTGAGGGGAAGATTACCAAGTAATATAAGGAGATTATAATTCACTTCCTCAACCAATGTGGAATTTGATACTCGCTCACATAAGACTGGGCAACTAGAGCATGGATCACATAATAAGAGGCCCAACATAAAAAAAACACATCAACAGGGACTGATGGGTCTTAGTTTTCGCATGGGTTCATCATTTGACGTAGATCAATCATGCAAGAGGGAAAACGGAAAGTGGTAGCTTTCAAGAACTACTAGAAAGGAGGCTCTGATACCATAATTAAAAAAAGAATTTTTAACCACTATACCTATTAGTAAGACTTATATACAAAAATAACATATCTTTTTAAATATTGCAAATATAGCAGATTCTATAATAAATATGCATTTTAAAAAGAAAAAAATAAAATTCATTAGCTAACCCAATTTCAGCATCAGTAACCCACCTCATTAATTAAAGGATCCATTAAATCTATAAACTTTTTACTATATTTTCTCTTTTCTAACATAATACTTGTAAGGTTGGGTCTTCAGTTCAGGCTTACTTTTATGTCATTTAAATTTACCTCATTTCATGTCATTTTAGATTTACCTCATTTCTTGTTTCTATTAACTCAATCACTGATCATAATGCCTGTTGACCTCAAACAGTCTTCTAATTTAATCTTTTTTTTTTTGTGTTATTTTCTATCAACGTCGAAAGTGATCATCTCTAAAAGTCTCTGAGACTCTAAAGAGCACATAAATTCGACATTGAGAGCAACGGCAGGCTAATTTAGCCTTTTCTAATGTAATACTTGTAAGGTTGAGTCGTTAGTTCAGGCTTAGTTTCATGTTATTTTAGATTTACCTCATTTCTTGTTACTTTTACTTACCTAAATATCTCAAAGATTGTAAAAAGAAAAATATCTCACAAATTCTCCCCTCTTTAACGAGGTTGAAACCAAGGAATTCCAATAAATATCCTTTAAATATTTATTTTTATGCTGGACAATTCTATTTTTTTTAGTAACTATGCCTTTAATATATTCTATTGTATTATATTGTGACAATTTTATATAATGTCAATATTTTTTATGTATGATATATAATATTTATACATATTACATACCAAATCTATGAATTTATATATACAATATTGTACATCCAACTAAACAAAATATATTACGCATAATGTTCATATATGAGCAGTATATTTTTTACTAAGTACCGAAAATTCAAAAATAGCCAGATTTATAGGTGATAATTGAAAAATAGCCACAGTTTCAAAAGTAATCAAAATTTAGCCACTTTTCATGTAAAGATAAATTTGAACGAAAACACTGTTCAAAATTCGGAAAATATTCCAGCATAATATACTGAAGTTCCAGTATAATATACTGGAGTTCCAGCATAATATACCAGACTTCCAGCATAATATATTGGTCCAGCATAATATGCTGGAAGTTCATACACACGTGCTCATATCTCCAGTATATTATGCTGGAACTTTTAGTGTGTTGGAATTCCAGCATAATATGCTGGAAGTTCATACACAGGTGCACCGATATCCAGTATATTATGCAGGAACTTTCAGTGTTGTAGCAAAATATTGGCTATTTTTCAATGACTTTACAAATGCTAGCTATTTTTCTATTACCAGTCCAAAATTGACTAGCCCGTGCTATTTTCACCTAATATATGGTTTATCACATCTACCATTGAAATAGAAAATGCATAAGCACCACCAATTGTAACATGATAAAATCGTATGTGTAATTAAATTCGAGAAAAAAAGGAATTTTGCCAACATAAAAAGAAAATAAGAAAGACAAACACTAGAAAAGGAAAAGGACAAAAAAGAATACTACCAATATAAATATGTCACAACCCAAAATCCCATCACATCGTGATGGCACCTAACTAAATTGATAGGTAAGCCAATTAACACAAATTATCATATAAATTGGATAACATCAATAAAATAAATAAGTATGTGAAAATTAACTCAACAAATCCCAATAACTAGTGGTACAAGACATGAGCAAATAAGATTTTGAATTACAACGTTGGCAAGAAGAAAATACATCATTTGTCTGAAAGTTACATAAATTAGAAATACAAGTCATATACTACCATAAACAAGATGACATCAGATGGTTGGAACAATGTAGTCTTCTACTGTTATGACCTAAAGTCCACTAGCCGTGATGGTACTTAACCCAACCCGCTAGGTAAGCCAACAACCACATAATAATAAAATCGAATAAACATGGTTTAATAACTCATCGGCGGAAAAATGTCATGAAATATACGAGAATATAACCATAATACTACAACAACCATCCACAAGATCTGATCTCAACGAGTACACGAGCACTACATAATAACAAGATACAAGCAAAATACTCTAATATAATTGTCTGAACAATAGAACAGTAAGGATAGAAATAACTAAAAGAGAACATCAAGGACTGCGGATGACATAAAAGCTACCTCGTAGTCTCCCAAAAGCTAATAGCAACTCAACTCTGGAAATCCCCTCGACCGAATGTACTTGGATCTGCGCATAAAGTATAGAGTATAGTATGAGTGCAATCGATCCTATGTACTCAATAAGTAATACGTCATAGACTGTACCTTGCCAGACTTTATACCTTCCTCTAAAAAATCACCCATCTTAACAAGTTCAGGGAACTTCTGCCCCATCATGCCCATCATTTTCTTAAAGTAGATCCCTTTATGATCCTTGATGAAATAATTAGTCAACTCACTATCATCTAAGGGGGGTTGTGCTCGGGTGGCCTCTGACCTCCATCGACCTGCATACTCTTGGAATGATTCGGACGGCCTCTTCTGCAAGTTTACTAGAGCGAACCTATCAAGGGTAATTTCTGTGTTGAATCTGAAGCGATTCATGAAATCTTCTGCCATATCCTGCCACTCCCTCTAGTTTCAGGTATTTTGGGGAGTGTTCCAAATAAGTGCTTCCCCCTATTAAACTCCTTATGAACATCATCATTCTCAACTTCTCGTTTCTTCCTACTCCAACTAGCTTATCGCAGTAGGCTCTCAAGTGTGCACTAACGAGCGTAAAATACACACTTAAGTATTCTCGCTAATCGAATATAGTAAATAAAATATCGTATTCACATGTATTGGAGTTAAATAATTATTATCGTAGTTTGTAGCTAGATTGTTATCCAAGATGATCAACAGTTGAGATTTATGTGATTACAACTAAACTTAACTAAGAGTCTAAATTATTGGCTAATGACAATCGACGAAAGTAATGAGTAAGGAAAGATATCAATTGGGAGAAAATAGGGTTGATAGGATAGGTGCAAGACAAATGTTTGGGACCTAACTCTAGATAATTCACTTCTAATGTAAAGCGAGTCTCTCAAATTTACTCAATTAATTGTCCACACATTCAGCATAAACTCTTTTCTCGATTAAGTTCAACCTCACAATATGAACTAAATTAAGCTCGGTGAAAACATGCAAGAACTCGTAATGGATTGCTCTTTGGGAAAACCTCTTTCGATTATTCTCCTAACTAGGTTAATCAATAATTAAACTAGTCACTTTCGATTACTAAGAAGAATTAATGAATTTACCCAAAAAAATATAACACGAAAATATCACAAGTTATGCCTCTCTCGATTACATGAACTAGTGAATATAGAGGCAACTATTTAAAACATCCACAACAATTCAATACATAAACTAGAGTTATAATCAACAAACAGATATCAATACGCTAAATCCATTAAACCCTAAAGAGAACTACTCCATAGACATGGAGTAACTCATCACAATTAAGTTTAAAGTAAAGAAAAATATGAAACAATCCAAACCCTTGTCTTGAGTTGGGATTGAATGATGGATTCCTTGTTCTCTTCTTTCTCCCACTTCTCCTTAGCCTCCTTAGGTCTTAGATGTGTCAAAAGTCTCAAAAATACAGTTTTTCCATGTATATATACCAAGTAGGGTCTTGCCCAAACGAAAACACCTTCTCCTATGCGAAATGGGACACTTTTTGTAGTTGGACTTGCGCAGCCGCGCACCTGGGAGTGTGCTCGCGCATTTGGCCATACATTTTGGACAACATTCTGCCATGCGCACCC